CAACTCTTCTGCAGCCTTCTCTTTCTGGGCCTTCTCCTCTGCCTCTTGTCGCAGCCTCAACTCTTCTGCTTCCTTCTCAGCCTTCTCCTTCTTAGCCTTCTCCTGTGCCTCTTGCTGCAGCTTCTCTTGCGCCTCTTTCCTGATCTTCTCTTCTGCTTCCTTCTTAGCCTTCTCCTGTGCCTCTTGTTGCAGCTTCTCTTGCAGCTCTTGCCTGATCTTCTCTTCTGCTTCCTTCTTTGCCTTCTCCCTTGCCTCTTGTTGCAGCTTCTCTTGCACCTCTTTCCTAATCTTCTCTTCTGCTTCCTTCTTTGCCTCCTCCTCTGCCTGTTGTTGCAGCTTCTCTTTCACCTCTTTCCTGATCTTCTCTTCTGCTTCCTTCTTTGCCAGCTCCTCTGCCTCCTGTCTCATCCTCAGCTCTTCTGCTTCCTTGGCCTTCTGTTCTGCCTCTTGTCTCATTTGCTTTTCAATGTCTTGCTTCATCTTGTCCAGGTCAAAAGGCATGGCAGTTGTAGCCTTTGACTCTCTTTCCTTCTTGGCCTTCTCTTCTTTCTCAAGCTTGACCCTTGCCTCCACTTCCTTGGCAACCTTCTCCTCAAGCTCCTTGGTGAGCCTGGCTTGAACTTCTTGCCTGATCTTGTCTTCTTCAGTTGCCACTTCTTCAGCTTCACCCTCACCTCCAGTTTGCAATGGGGACCATTGCAACCCATCACACACTGGCTGAAATAACACCAGTGCAGGGCCCACAAATTACAGCGCCTATAAATTCTGAACATCCCTGTTTCTTGACCAACACCAAAAACCCCCACCTGCCATAGCTGCGCTTTTAGCCTTCATGAAAGCTCCCTGCACAGTAGACTGGGTCTTCTTTTGTGGTTCAAACTCTTTTGTCTCCTGCAAGTTGGTCAACATCTGGGACCAAGTCTCATGAGGCACCAGCTGTGCGCATTCTACCTTGGCAGGTTGGCTGTGAAATGGTGGGTCATCCTCCAGTCAGAAATGGTGGGTGGGTGGTGCACAGGGACTGAATCAAGCTCAGTTGCCAGGTGTGCAACCCATTTCTGGTACACAGCTTCATCTTGGAACATGGTCTGGCAATCCCACATCTGGTTCTTTGGTGCAGGGCCCTTGATGCAATGCCTACAGGTCAACAATTGAAGGTGCCAGCTAAAGAACACACCAATGAACTTGCACTGCCTTGCCTTGCATTGTCATAGGTCTTAATTGCAGGGACCCCCTTGGGAATGATGAGCTTGGGTTTACCACCTTGGCTTCAGAAACACTTACCTGCTCAATGTCTGGCTGGGACCTACCATTAGCTTGAGGAAAGAATGCAGCCATGGCTCCATCCCTGCAAAACAGCCAAGTGTCACCACACTTGGAGAGCTCAACATAGTATAGTGGCCTCAAATCAGCCTTTGTAGCCTGAGATGCATTGCAGGAAGTGTCACAAATACTACTGTACATATTGAGCTGGGGAAGGGTTTGGCTTTTGTCAAGTGACAGCTTGCTGATGGGGATATCTTCCCTCAAAGGCATCTTTCCAGCCATACTTATTGGCCACTTCTTCCTTGGCCACCAGACCAAAGGCCAAATGCAACACACAACAACACCAGCTACAACAGGGACAAAATATCTACACTTTACCCCCCCCCCACACACACACACTCACAGATGCAACAAGTTCACAGTGAAGGCTCTAGGTTTGAATAGTCCTCTTTGACCTCACTAAACCTCTTGTGTCCACCATTCCTTTCCTCAAAGCGCTTCTTGGCATCCAAGAGCTTGCTTTTCCTTGGTTTTGGAAAAGGGTATGCACTAGTCCACTGGTGCTCAAAAACATTAGTGCACATTGACCCACCAAACCAAGGTCCAGCCCAAGCCACAGATCGCCCCTGTCTTTGGGTCGAAGCTCTTTGACCCTCAAAAATGGTGGCAACCCAGTCAACAGGAACATTGCCATCCCAACACCAGTGTCATCTAAGAGCTGCCTCTGACCTCAAGCATCCAACAAGGAAGTTTGCCCAAGAGCTAGTTAAAGACACTGAGAACACACAAGTGACTTCAGTGGCATCCATCACAACAATAAGTTTCTGACCATCTGCAAAAGAGTTCTCATCCAAATGTTTCAAAAAGCGAAGCATGTCCCTCCTGCCAAGCAGTGGTACTGGTAGTTAGTTTTTTGAGCATTCAAGAAAAACATTCAAACAAACACCATGCACTCTTGGCTGCCTGGGAAAGCAGTTGGTGTTGCTCTTGACACCCTGAGTTCTGGCCAACTGGCATTTGGGCACAGGACGCCTGTCCAAGTCTTCACCTGGCAAGTTTTGCAATGGCTCCCAAAGAGTTGAGCTTACACAGGTTCAGTGTGATGAGATATGCCAGATGTATATATATAAATAAATATATTTGCATATATATGTGTGCTTTTTCATATCCCAAGAACAGCTGTATATATAAAAATGCGCTTTTGGTGTCAGGCAGTGTCAGGATGTTGTGAGGTTTGGACACCTCAAAAAGCACCTCCCCTGCCCAAGTGCTGGTGTTTGACACACCAAGCTGCAAAACAACCCCTGGAAAGGTAATGACACCCCAAAGCAAGAAACAAACAAACAAGGTTGAGTGCAGTACAGTTGGTGATGGTATCCAGAAAACATACCCTGTTCAAGTTCTGCTGGTGACCCTCTATACAAAGAATGGTTGCTGGCCAATGGTGCACTGCCAGATTCAACCCTGCCACCCCCACTTGCAAACACGCAGCTGGCAGCATCAGATGAGTCACCAGGCTTTCCTCAAGTAGATGGGCTGCAGTTGTGCAGCCACATGGGTGAACATTCAGGCAACTTGACATTATCCACCTGGTGTTACTCCCCCAACCATGGTTGAACCACACTATGCAACCAAGTCTCTGTGTTTCCTCCTATCTTTCTTACTCTTCTTTTTCTTATGTGTCTTGGTCTTCTTCTTGTGTTTCTTCTTGTGCTTGCCACTGTCAGAACTGGACCTGACACCAACAGCCATGACATTGCCTTTCAGAAACCATAAGCGACAGAAGCCATTCACATATTGGACCTGTCAGAACTGGACCCTTTCATTCACATAGTGGTTTCTAAGGCCAAGGAACTCTGCAGACTCTTCACCTAGGAAAGCCAAGAAACATAGTCTAAAAGTTGATGGGTTGTTGAAAGTTGAAGTCTTCACCTAGGACCTAGTTGGCTTAGACAATTCAAAGTTGCGCTCTAACAATTGCAGCCCACAAGCCCTTTGAAACAAAGGCACTGTACTCCTCCTCCTCATCATCATCTTGAAGTTCTTCTGGTGGAACAGTGGTAGGGGCACTACTCTCTGGCCTACTGCCACTGCCAGAACAAGACAAAGAACCCAAGGATACAGTTGCTGGTCCACCCATCCCTCCATGCATCTGTGGCCACATCCCAGGTGCAGATGGCCCAGGTCCACCCATAGGGTGATTCATGCCATACATAGGGTTCCTCAGGTTCCAAAGGGTGGGTTGCAAAGCATAGCAGTGTGAGTCTGAGTACTGTGAATGTCCAGGTCATAAGCCTTGTTAATCTTGTCACTTTTCCACCCATGCCAGTGATGGGTCACCCCTCCCAATCAACATTCTAGAATATTCCACTCCAAGGAACATTCCAGGCCAATGTCCCATGCCTGGCTGCATGTGCCTGAGGTGGTGGGCACAAGTAGAACCATCACCAGCAGTACTCACCCAACTTCAGTCCAAACAAAACACACATCCCAACCCTTTAACAACACAATAGCACCCTTCATGCCTTTTGATGGCTCACCAAGAGCTACTCACTACTCTTGTTCACAGTCTGACTTTGAAGTCCAAGCTGCTCTGGCAAAGTTGTTGTCTTCCTCTTTTTGTGACTGGGCATGGCTCAAAACAGCCCAGCAGCTAACTTGGTCAAAATTAAAATGGCTGCAGATTGTCAGCCTGGCTCACCATCCAATCAGGTTCACTTCCAAAACACTCCAAAATCATTCAATATAATTCCAAATCATTAATTTTAATTAAAATATATTGAAACATACCTGAAAATTAATTTGAATGATTTGGAATAATATTGGCTGATTCCCAAGCCTTGCAAAAATGCACAATGAAGTCCCCTCTCTATGATCTCCCCTATCCTCTAAGAAGACTGTTGAGCCGGAATACCATGAAGAGTCTGCGTGCCGTGTTGGATTTCGAGCTGGAGACGATTTCGATCGAGGGCTCCGAGGCTCGACCACTGCAGAAGAACTCAGCAGGCCAGTATATCATCAACGTCATGGACAAGCCAGAGGCTTTGTTGTGTGAAGATGACATGATTGTTGACCAGGCATCCAAGACCGAAGAGCAGGAGATAGACGAGACAGAGGCGAACCTTGTTGCTGGATGTGAAAGGACAATGACCAGGCGAGAACATCGCTGTCTGTTGGCCCACAAAGAATCGTGGAGCAAGGGGCAGAGTGCAGTGGCTGTGGCAGAAATGTTTCACCTCCTCGTTTTTCCCATGTGATGGAGCAACAGGGTGAGACAGGCCTGGCTTTCGACATCAAACAAGGCTGGGACTTGACAGAACCGAAGACTCAGACCTTTGTGGACAAGCAGTTGGAGGAAGCCAAACCGGAGCTGCTAGTGTGTTGTCCAGAGTGCAAGCATTGGGGAGGCTGGTACCGCTTGAATCGACACAAGCTGCCAGTGGTTCAACAGTTGCACAACCAACGACAAGCTCGGGCACAAGCAGATTTTTGTGCTCAGCAGATTCGACGGCAGCTCAAACGAGGTGGCCGAGTCCTACTTGAGCATCCTTGGTCCAGTGATTTGTGGAAATATCCGCCAATTCAGAAGTTGATTCAGAGTGGTCAGCTGAAGCTCCAGAAGGCCAACATGTGTGTCTATGACCTTCATGACTCAGAGAGCCATCAGCCCATCCTGAAGCCGACTGGTCTGGCAGTTTCCCATGAAGACATGGCATCTCTGGCCTTGGAATGTCCAGGACATGACTCGCATCAACCAATTGCTGGACACACCTCAGATGGCATGAACCGTAGTGCTAGAGCAGCCGAATACACCTCCTTGTTTGTCAAAACATGGCTAACATGCATAAGACCGCAGCTTTGCCATTTTTCGTGTGTGCAGGACCCGGAGATGAGTGATCGTGAGCCGTATGTGAGAGATGCCATGAGGTTTGTGCTGCAACCGAAGCCAAGCAGGTTGAACAGTTGGTTCGTAAGCTTCATAATAACCTCGGTCATCCCTCTACTAGATCACTTACCAGAGTTCTCAAGAATGCCGGTGCACATGATGTGGCTTTGCAGGCAGCTGAGGCCATAGAGGGTCAATGCGATATCTGCCAACAGAGACAACGTCCCACACCATGTCTTCCAGCAAACCCGGAACATGCACAAGATGTCAACCACAAAATCGGTTGGGACACGAAGCTCTTGCCGGGATGGAAAGTGAACCAGCAGGTGAAGTGTATGAACATAGTGGATTTTGCCACTAGCTTTCAGGTTGTAGTACCCCTGTTCGAGCAAGAGACCTCCGAAGTGTTGAAACGTATCTGTCTGAAATCATGGCAAAGGTGGGCAGGTTCACCGGTTGAGGTTTTGGTGGATCCAGCTAGGACCAATACGGCAGAAGAGGTGTTTGCACGCCTTGAACAAGATGGCATTCGCATTTCGACCATTGCCGCTGAAGCACACAACCAGCTCGGCAAGGTGGAGAAGCATGGGCATTTGTTTGAAGTGATTTTGCAGAAAGTCATCGATCAGGTACAACCCAAGAATCGTGCCGAGTATGAAATGTGCATTGTGCAGACTTGTAACGCCAAGAATGAGCTTCTGAACCAGAAGGGACTTTCCCCATGACTAGTGTTCGGTAGGAATCCTAGGGTTGGAGACTTGTTGCAAGAACCATGGGAATGGCCATGCCCAATTGCTGC